TGGGTTTGGTTTTGGTTTTTCAAGACAGGGTTTCTGTGTGTAAGAGTCCTGGCTGTCCTGGACTTCGCTCTCTAGACCAGAGATCCACCTGCCTCTGCTTTCCGAGTGCTGGGATTAAAGGTGTCCGCAGCCTCTGCCTGCCTGAGTCTACGTTTTAAGATGTAGCCATCTCCCCTCCCTTGCCCGTCCTACTGAGGACCAAGCCTCTGTAACAAATATAAGAGCTCTCAAACTCAAATTCTCATGAGGTCAAGCTGTGTGTAATCACAAGAACAAACCACAGCTGGCAAATAAGCGTTTTTTTTTCCCCCCCACAAAGCCATGTAAAGGATAGTTTAAACATTTAATTGAGTAACAGCATCAAGCAATTGTTGAGTAATCTGAAGTAAATCCACTCCTATCTGCTTCACCTGGGAAGGAACATGAAACCATTCCAAGAACAATTCCATGTTGTAAAGAATCAGAGGTCACAAGATTCCTATTTTCTTGGAGTGTTTTCACAAGCATTCAGAACTCTCCTCACAGACTTCACTCCTGGACTGTTCCCACATATGTGTACATACAATTTTGGGGGGGCGGTTCCAAGACAGGGTTTCTCTATTGTTTTGGAGGCTGTCCTGGCGCTTGCTCTGTAGACCAGGTTTGCCTTGAACTCACAGAGATCCACCTGCCTCTGCCTCCCCAGTGCTGGGACTAACGGCATGCTCCACCAATGCACGGCATGTACATACACTTTTAATTGAAGTATATGCCTGGGAGATACAACTGCTGGGCCAAGACATGTCCTTATTTAATTTTAAGGGGCTGCCATATTCTTATAGAAAACAGCTGGCATATTACTCTCACCATTGATGAATGAGAGCTCTGGTTTCTTCACATTCTTAGATTTATTGTGTACTGTAGCTGTCCTAGAGGGTGTGGTCTGGTAACATTGTGACTGTGGTTTGTATTACTCTGATGATTAATGTTAAATTTTTTGTTGGTTGTGTTTTGGTTTTGGCTTCTTTTTATTTTTGAGAACCTGGCTCTTCAGGTTCTTCTGTGTATGAGTGAAGCAAAGCACTGTGTTCATGGGTGTGAACATGGAGATGTGGAGGCCGGAAGGTGACATGTGGTGTCTTCCTCAATTGCACTCCACATTTTTTGTTTGTTTATTTGTTTGGCTTTTTGTTGTTGTTTCAGTTTTTAGATCTTTTCTGTGTATGAGTTTTCCTTGCATGTGTCCTTGTGCATGCCTGGTGCCTATGGAAGTCAGAAGAGATTGTTGGGTCCCTTGGACCTGAAGTTAGGGATAGTTGTGTGTCACCATGTAAGTGTTAGGTTGAAATGTGAATCTTCAAGAGAGCAGCAAGTGCTCTCACTCCCAGGTGTCTCTATGGCCCTTCTGCATCTTATTTTTTGGAACAGGATCTCTCACTTAATGTGGAGCTCATAAGCATGGCCAGACTGGCTGGCCAGTGAGCTCGCTCCAAGGATCTACACTTCCCCAGTGCTGGAATTACAGGTGTATGCTACCTGAGTAGTACATACGAATTTTGTTCATCTGAACACACTGGTCTTCATGTTTGCTTGGTGTGCAGTTTACCAGCCTAAGGCCTTCCCTCTAGATCCCTCAACTTTTTGTTTTTTAGTTCTGTAGTTTCGTCAGGTCATATCACTGTATGAATTTGTGTACAAGTGACTATTACACATCTCTATCAATTTCAAGCTTAACTAGGAAAATAGTAAAGAATGAAACGTCATGTTTTAATTTTTAACCTCAAACTCAGATCCTCCTGCCTCTTCAAACAGAGTGCTGGAATTAAAGACATGTGCCACCAATTTGACTAGCCTAATTTTTACAGGTAATTAAATTACATTAAGTTATTGGCTGTTGGGTAGATTGTGAGAAATTTATCAAATATAAGCAAGTGACTACCATTATATTTGGAATAAAGAAGGTACTGATATGTATAAAGCCCTAACATGTTTGAGAGCATGCTTAGGGTAATGTTATATTTGCCAGTAATTATAATGCACATAATACCTACCACTTCTAAACTCAGCTCAAGCTACACAGTTGATATATTTGCCAAACTGACTGAGAGAATACATTGTACTGACAGTAAACTTGATGACTACTTTCAAATCTATTCATAACACTTTGCAGGGTGTATCACAGTGTGCTTGTGGAGGTCAGAGGACAACCAGTGGCAGTCTTAAAGACCTAAGAGTCTGAGTGACTTATAGCCTAGAGTATGCTGTACAGTGACAGTGCCTCATCAAGATGGAACACAACCTACTGTATAATATTATTCTCTGATCTCCACATTAACACCTGCGTGTGCTCAATTTTTTTTTTTTCAAGACAAGGTTTCTCTGTGTAGCCCTGGCTGTCCTAGAACTCACGCTGTAGACCAGGTTGGCCTTGAACTCAACCACCTACCTCTGCCTCCTGAGTGCTGGGATTAAAGGTATGCACCACCATGCCTGTCTTAAAAAAAAAAAGTGTGGGAGCCAACAACATGTCTCAGCCTTACTGAGTTTGGCTCCCAGAACCCACGTGGTAGAAAGAGAGAACCAACTTCTATAAAATGTCTACTGGCTTCCACACATACGGCATGGCATGTGTATACACCATATTTGTTTTTTTTTTGTTTTGTTTTGTTTTTTGAGGCAAGGTCTCACAGAGTAGCTAGTCTTGGAACTCAAGATTACCTACCTACCTCTGCATCTTGAGTAATGGGACACAATAAAAATTTTTAATCAAGTAGAGCTGGGTGTTGGTGGCGCACCCCTTTAATCCCAGCACTCGGGAGGCAGAGGCAGGTGGATCTCTGTGAGTTCGAGGCCGGCTTGGTCTACAGAGTGAGTTCCGGTACAGCCTCCAAAACAATACAGAGAAACCCTGCCCCGAAAAAAATTTTTTTTAAAACAAGTAGGTGGCACTGAACTTCTGGCCTTCACACGTGTGTGTCTTCACACAAACAAACGAATGCTCTATTTCTGGATCTCAAGCCTTTCCCTCAGCTATTTCTTAGTCATTTTAGGAAAGAAAGCTTTCCAACTGATGTAACATGTACCTCTAACACCTTGGTGGGTGGTAACAATAGCAGGTGTGTCCATTGAGAACTGAAAGATGACTGTACTCTACTTTAAAGGTTAAAAACGACAACGAACACCAACCATGAAAGATCCAAGTCGCAGCAGTACTAGCCCAAGCATCATCAATGAAGATGTGATTATTAACGGTCATTCTCATGAAGATGATAATCCATTTGCAGAATACATGTGGATGGAAAATGAAGAGGAATTCAACAGACAAGTTAGTTTTGTGTACAAACATAAGTCTTTTCTTTTGTAGCTTCACGCCTTTCATATATGTATTTGACCCCGTGATGTGTGTGTAGTCCTTTGTGTGTGGGGTAAAGATTTACGTGCTACGGCTCCTGTTGTACTTGGCTGCTAACTACTGCCAGGCTGAACCTAAGCTCACTGAAATGACTTGGGCACCTTGCTTCAGGGTCCCACCCTAGAGACAGAAGAATAGGGTGGAGCCTGGGAAACCGAATGAATCTCCCAGAGTTTCAGCTTGAAAACCACTGCCTTAAACCAGTCAGACCTCTGCATTACAGTACAAATCTTAGAAAATTTAGGAAACGGGAGTAAACACCACAGATGTCTGGTACAAAATTGGTCTGTTTTTCACTAGAGAGCTTCAGTCTTTTTGGTTTTTCAAGACAGGGTTTCTCAGTAGCTATGCAGCCATTCCTGGAACTCATTCTGTAGACTAGTCCAGGCTGGCCTTGAACAGAGAGTTCTGTCTCTGCCTCCCAGTGCTGGAGTTAAAGGCGGGCATTGCTAGCACCGGCTCACTTCACTTTTTCCTTACAAATTCCTAGAATAACCCTAAACAGATCTCCCTTGGTGTTTGTGTTTTGGTTTTTGGTTTTTTTCTTCCCTGTAGTACTGAAGCAGGGAAGAAAGTTTCTAATTTTTTAATTTGGTGTTGGAGATCAAACCCAAGGCCTCATGTATAGTGATATATATCTACCAATGGGGTGTGTGTGTGTGTGTGTGTGTGTGTGTGTGTGCGTGCGCGTGCGCGCGCGCTCATTACACTTCCAACTCCAAGAGTGTGAATGTGTGCACGCGTGCACGTGTGCTCACCATTCTCCTATCTCAGCCTTTAGGGTACTAGGATCCCAGGTGTGCACTGCTGGCCTGGAACTCATGGTGGTCATTTTACCTTGTTTTTCAAGTGTGGAGATGATATCTGTAAACTACACAGCCAGCCATATTACGAATTGATTTGGTTCTGTTCTGTTGAGACAGAGTGTCACTATTTACCCTTGACTAGCCTATAACTGGCTATGTAGAACAGGCTGGCCTCAGACTCAGGTGTCTGCTTGCCTGCCTCCTGAGTACTGGGATTAAAGGCATGTACTACCACACCCTGCCCTCATATTATGATTTCAAATGGCTTAGTTTAAGATATTTTAAGCCAAACTTAGGGATGTCTTACCAATTATGCTATAATTATCCCTTATTTGTCATAACTCTAGATAGAAGAGGAGTTGTGGGAAGAAGAATTTATTGAACGCTGTTTCCAAGAAATGCTGGAAGAAGAAGAAGAACATGAATGGTTTATTCCAGCTCGAGATCTCCCACAGACTATGGACCAAATCCAAGACCAGTTTAATGACCTTGTTATCAGTGATGGCTCTTCTCTGGAAGATCTTGTGGTAAAAAGTCATTTCTCATCTTCTTAGACCCTACCTCATCTTTCCCATAAATGGAAAATCCAACTACACTCTATTTAAGAAGAGTTCCATATCTCTTCCCCTTTGAAAATTTTCCCGCTTTTTTAGATTGGAAGCAGAGACCCCAGTGTCATTTATATAGAATAACTTGTTGCTTCCAACCTTGATGTTGCATTAAACTTACTGTTAATATGATTTGATTATATAAAAGTATCTTGATGAAAAGTTTTGCTCTTTAATTGTTACAAAAACATTTGGTAAAATTTGGACATTTTTATTGATAAAATTTCTTAGATCTCCTGATTGGTTTTCTTTGAGATACTTTTACAAGTTCTTGGCAGAAAAAGAATGCAAAGCTAGATTCATATTCTCAGTATTGTTACTGGTAATGTGTTTGCAATAAAGTTCTCATCGTCACTAAAGTAGAACCTGATGAGTCTTTTACTAAAGTTAAGATAAAAGATTTTCTTGTTTTGTAAGGTGGGTGAGTGGTTGAAACAGGGTTTCACTCTAGCACAATCCAACCTGAAACTCAATGCTTAGCACTGACTAGCTTCAAACTTAGAGCAATCCTCGTGCCCCAGTCTACCAAGACTTGCGATTACAAGCATGAGCCATCATCTCCACAAGATTTTTAAATTACAATTTTTCTGGTTTTGAATGTTCACCTTTCTGGCCAAGAGAATTATCTGTAATTCCTAGGTCTGGAATTTCTCCATTGTTGTCTGTTCACTGTGCCTTCCTTTACTAAGCTATTTATCATAATCACCTAAGTTTCAAAAACCAGGTGTTATGCATGGTAATTGTTTAAAAGCATCCCAAACGAGATACTTAGAATCATCTTCCCCATCAGGCTTTTGGAAACCATTCTGCAGCCAAGAACAATAGAGAAAACATTGAAATTTACATTGTGGTATAGTCTTCCTTGCAGTAAATAACAGTAACCCAGAACCTCAACATACTGTTTATGGCTCCATAATGTTGTGTGAAATACTATTGATGCTCTTATGAAGAAAGGCCTTTGCTAGGCTTAATGTATAACCTGGATTTTGCATAAATCCATAACACAGAAACTGATTTGCTTAACTCAGATTATTCAAGATTACTTTAATTCATTCTTAGACATCTCTAGCTGCCAGACATTATATATTCAAGACTTCTGGGTTTTGCAATTAAACCATGCTCACTCTTCTTCCTTTATTTGTGTGTATGTAATGCTGAAGGTCAAGCCCAGGCCGGGAACATTCTAGTCTTTAGTTAAAATGTAGATGTGTTTCCCCTGTGGGAATAGAGAATATTTATCTCAATTTTAAGTTATTGGTCCAATGTGTTATTTAGTATTGTGTTTTGGTCTTAAAATACATGGCATTGGAATTAAATTCAGTTTCAAAACAAAGCAAAAAAAAAAAAAACCCTACCTGCATGTCTATGTTTACCCCTGGAATCTCCTGGTTTCTTTTTTTTTTTTTATCAACTCTCAACTTTGAATGTAGAGAATTTCCAGCTCTTTTTCCTTTATATTGACATGTACACTTAGGAAAGTAAAAGTGAAGAACAGAATAAAGCTAGTACAAGACTCTAGAGTTCGTAGAGACTTTGGCCTACTCTTCTGATGTTTTTGAGCTGATGTGGAAATGGAGTCTCGAGAGGGTGACTTGTCCAAGCTTACACAGGAATTTGAACTAGATAGTGCTGTGATTTCAAACTCCGGTCTGCTGTCTGCTGTGTAGCTTTCTTTTCCTTTTACATCCAGTACCTCCTGTGGGAATTAGAAAGCAGCAGTTGTAGAAAGAAGATGACCTCCAAGTTTTCAGTGACAGTCATAAGTAAATTGACCAACAGCCAACAGTGCCCCAGTTAATCTAACTGTGGACATGTATTTGACATGTTTGGAAGTGTTGCAGAGCATCAAGTACAGTTGACATAATTCCTTATTCCATGCTTTTATAGATTATATGAAGTTAATGGGTTTGTTGTACTTAATGTCAGCTCCTACTTTAGAAGTTAATACAATAGGATTTGAGGTCTCTAGTGGTGACGCACGCCTTTAATCCCAGCACTTGGGAGGCAGAAGCTGGTAGATCTCTGAGTTCAAGGCCAGCCAGGACTACATAGAGAGACCTATATAAAACAAAAAACCAGAAAAAGGATATAGAGCTTACATCACATTCTTTCTCTGCCATTGGTTTTTGGGTTTAGGTATAACTGTAGTCCAATCTTTGGTATTTCCTGAGATATTTTTTACATTAGATCTAGGCAGAATGCTTCTGAGAATCCACAGCCAACTGTAATGAATTTGCTTTTTTTCTTCTTCTTATGTACTTATTTTCCAGGTCAAGAGCAATCTGAATCCAAATGCAAAGGAGTTTGTTCCTGGGGTGAAGTACTAACATATTTGAGTAGACGGGGCCCTCTTTTGGTGGATGTAGCACAATTTCCACACTGTGAAGGCAGTATTAGAAGACGTCATTGTAAAAGCTCTCTCGTCACTGTGTTACACTTATGCATTGCCAAAGTTTTTGTTAGTCTTGCATGCTTAATAAAAAAAAAAGTGCTGAGACTGTTACTAAGTAAGAAGCTGTCACACAGTTACTGAAAGTAGAATGGCCCCATGGCTTAATGTAAAGACAGCAATGGAAGAAGCACCAGTCAATTGTGACAAAGAACCAAATTAAATAACCTCCAACTCTCACTGAATTGTCTGTCTTTGAGGCTAAACTGGTCCCTTAGGATTAATTGACTTTTTAATGTCTACACTTTGCAAAAAATAAGTAAATGAGCAAGTTTAAGTTAGGTTCTGATTGCTAAGCAGATTTCTCAGTTGCATTTGTCCATTGAAATTCCCTTTTCTGAAGAAAGTCTGTGAACTGGAGTGTCATTACACAGAATGTCTGACAGGTTACCTTGGTGATCAGTCTGGCTTTTGCCTGGTGCATTATCATGTTAGGAACCCTGGGTTCTCCAGTGGTGACCTTGAGGAAATACAATTTGAGGCTTGTGTCTTCTGAGGGTCCCTTGCATCCTAGCCATATATGTGTGAAGTCTAACACAGGACCAACACAGCCCATAATCCAATTGAAGCACTGAAGGGTGGTGGCGTGGTTTTGAGTGGTGCTCTTCCTTGCTTTGCTAGCCATCATGACTATAGTCTGCAGCACAATTTTCCTTTTAACAAAGCTAGAACAGTTTTGGCTTCTTAAACTTCATATTTGGGTAGGTTAAGCTGCCATACGTGTTCAGTGTGAATAGTGTTTAAGTTGAAAATATTGTAAAAAAATTATATTTTTTCAAAAATATTTAAAAAAATAAATAATAGTAGAACTGAGCTGATGCTTGTGTTTATTGGTACAGACTACAGACTCTCCAGTGCTGGTATTTATGTGGGCCTAGAGCCTCTGGTTGCTCTGTGGGTGAACTATGCTCAGAGAAGAGTATTTGCTAGCACACACAGTAGCTGTGCAAGTATCTCTCCAGTATTTTTGCCCTTGCTCTTTTGTTGCCAAGACTGCAGTATCTGAAATCTGAGACAGCCGTAGTATAAACTATGGTTGTGCTGGGGGTATGTGGTAGTGGTGGAGGACTTACTTAGCGTGTGCAGCAACGTGGACTCTCCTTGATATTATAGGCCATGTGGTCATTTATTGTTCTCGTTTGTTTTCAAGACAAAGGTTTCTGTGTAGCCCTGGCTGTCCTGGAGCTCACTTTGTGAACTAGGCTGGCTTTGAACTTGATCCACCAGTTTCCACCTCCCAAATGCTGGGATGAAAGGTGTGCGTCACCGTGCCCAACTTTAGTACATGTTTTCAGAGCCTGTTAGGAGGTTCTAGCAGGGGAGCGCAGCTACTCGAATACCCTTGACGGAAGACCGGTCCTCCTCTATTCGGGGGAAGGTCGTCCTCTTCAACTGATCGCTCAGCTTCTGGAGAGACGCACATGGAGCGGTGAGGGAGGAAGGGGACCCCCGCCTAGCCAGCCAGATCACCCTCACATCCTATTGTATGTTTTGAGACCGTGTATAGCTACATAGCTTGAAGCCCAGCTTTGAACTCAGGGTCCTCCTTGCCTCAGGCTTCTGGGTGCCAAGATTACCTTGTTCTCCTGTGTGATTATTTCTGGCTCACATTCCTTGTGGAAAACTCTGAAGTTTTTTTGTTTTGTTTGTGGTGCTGGAGGTTGGACTTAGGAACTGTTTTCTACATGGTATTCAACCACTGTTAACTGGTCATCTATCTACATCTTCAACCCCACTTGAGGGACTTTGAGGTTTTTCCAAGACAGGGATCCTCTGTGTAGCCCCAGCTGTCCTACAACTCACTTCGTAGACCAGACTGGCCTCAGACTCACAAGAGATCTGGCATGTACCACCAAGGCTGGCTTTAATTTTCTTGTTCTTGGCATTTTGAGACTACAGACGTTGCATTTATTTGATGTAGATTTATATTTTGTCTGCATGCATATCTGCACACCAGAAGAATATAACTCCTGTAAGACTTCAGTTATAGACAGTTGTGAGCTGCATGGGATGCTGGAAATTGAACTCGTGCTCTTTACTGCTGAGCCATCTCTCCAGCCCCAGTTGTCTTTTTTTCCATGTGTGCGCCGTGCGTGCGTGCGTGCGTGCGTGCGTGTGTGTTGTGACCTGCTGTATGCGTGCTGGGAATTGAACCAGGATCCTCTGGGAGAGAAGTTAGTTGTTGCTTTTTGGTTTTCTTGGTTTTGTTTTTGAGACAAGGTCTTCTTATGTAGCCCTGGCTCTCCTGGAGCAGGCAGTATAGACCAAGCTGGATTCTGAAATCTGTCTGTGTCTGCCTCCCAAGGGCTGGGATTAAATGTGTGGACCACCATGCCTGGCAGCAGGCAAGTTCTTTAAAAACCTCTGGAAAAAACAGTCATGTTTGACACTTGTTCTTTGGGAGGCCATAGTCCCTTCGTTTTCTAACTGCTCGGAACCAGATGTACCACAAGGGGCACCACTCAGTCAGGCTGACCTCAGTCTCCTGTGCTCCTGCCTCTGCCACCACAGCAGACAGAAGCCACCTCTCACTCCTTTCAGTGGAGTGCTGCTCGTTTGGGGGAGAAAGCATTCAAATTAGCCAGAGACAGGTGTCTACATTTTAGGCAAAATTAGGATTCAGAAGTATCCACACATTTTGAACCCTAAAGACGAAGGATCATCCCCTATGGACTTGTACTAGCAGATTTATGGTACTGAAGTAACTGAAGATGATTTTAGTTTTATGACCACTAATGCTGAAACAGACGTATATGTGGAAGGATTTTTCCTGTTTAATGTCTTAGTGTTTCAACCTTTTCCATGCCAAACATTATCCAGATGTAGTGATGCACACCTGTAAAATTCCTGCATTTGAGGCGCTGGAGAGATGGCCCAGTGGATAAGAGCACTTGTTGCCCTGGCAAGAGGACCCAGGTTTGATTCCCAGCACCCACATGAGGGTTCATAACTGTCTATGACTCCAGTTGCAGGGGATCCGATGCTTGCTTCTGACCTCTGTAGGCACCAGACACGGGCATGGTATACACATATTTGTAGGCGCTGGAGAGATGGCTCAGAGGTTAAGAGCACTGACTGCTCTTCCAGAGGTCATGAGTTCAATTCCCAGCAACTACATGATGGCTCACATATTTGTAGGCAAAACACTCAGGTACATAACATGGATTACCTTAAAGTTTTCTTTAAATCCTTATATTTTGAGAGAGAGGGTCATGAATTGAGAGGAGGTAAGCTAATCTTAGTGGCTTATGCCATTAATGCCAGTACTTGAGAGACTGAAAAAATGTATACAGTATATAAGAATTCAAAGATACAGGCTAGCAGTAACTACCTACAGACTCTAGTGTGTCTGGTAGGATTAATATTTCAGTGTACATGTAGCCATTTGTGGCCCACAACAGTTGGGAATTCCTGCTCTCACTATAACATGCCTAAGGAATCGCACCCAAAGCCCACACATGACTTTTTATCCAGCCTGCTCAGCCTCCCACAAGAGCCGTAACATCCTACCTTTTGTAGTTTCAGACCTTGGTGCACACAGACTCGGTTTCCGTATTGTTTGGAGTGTCTTCTACAACTGGAGGCTGAGTTTTTGACTTTTTAGAAAACCCTCTGAAGACTGGGCAGATGGGAATGTATCTGAAAAAGGCAGTGCCCTTTACTATGCCCATCCCGAAGGGGAAATCGTAGCTCTTCAGACTGGCTGACGTCTCGCTGTTGGTGTGGGCTCCAGCTTTCCACTGCATCAGGCCTCTTTCCTCTGGGCTCCCTGCAGGACAATGGGGTCATTTAGGAGGGCAGCAACCCTGTGCCACCCCAACTTCATGCAACCAGTCCCAAGCACACGTCTACAATCAAGGGTTGGTGAGTTTGCATTGCTAGGCAGTTTTGTATGCTAGGTAAGCACTCTACCACCCTGGATGCCTTTAGTTGCCAGAGCTGACAAACCCTAGAAGACAATGCTCTGAGAAACAATAAAGACTAATACATGGGACTGGAGAGATGACATAATAGTGAAGTCAGTAGCACTGACTGCTCTCCCCAGAGGATCCGGGTTCAATTCCCAGCACCCTCATGGCGGCTCACACCTGTCTGTATTTCTAAGGTCTGCTACCCTCACACACGCATACATGCAGACAAAACACCAATGCACATAAAATGTACAATATATTGCAAATGCAATAAAAATTTTCTTAAAAGATTAATGCTGTGTAGCTACAGCATCAAGCACTGTGCTAAATAATCTCATTATTTCAGAACACCCCTGGGATGTATGTAGGCCCTGCTACACTAATTTTTGAAGAGTCAGGTGGCGGTGGCACACGTCTGTAATCTCAGCACTCTGGAATTTGAGGCCAGCCCAGTCTACAGAGCTTTTTTTTTTTTTTTTTTGAGAATAGTCATTTTACTGGTGTCTGAACTGGGCCATGGTGGCACACGCCTTTAACCTCAGCAGAAGCAGGTAGATCTCTGCAGAGAAGAGTTCCAGGACACCCAACGCAGCCCTGTCTCAAAACTAAAGATTAGCTTTACTCTGTGTCTGAATGAATATAGGGCTGGCTAGTATGTGCTGGGTTCACCAGACCCAAACAGTGTCTAGGTTGTATGTGGGAGTAAGGACGGTTTCTTTGGTTTGGTTTTGTTTTCAAGACGGGAGTTCTCTGCTGTCCTGGAGCTTGCTCTATAGGCCTGGAACTCACAGAGACCCGCCTGCCTCTACCTCCCGAGTGCTGGGATTAAAGGTGCACTCCAGTTTCGTCTCCTGTTTTGTGTCAGGATCTCGAACTGTTTTGCACACCGTCTTCAGTGTGACTCGGGCCCAAGCTGGTAGATTCCACCAGCTTTTTCTGAGCTGCGTTTGCGTTTGGCTCTTCCTCTGAGGTATAAGTCAGCTGTAGTGATAACATGGCGATAATGCCAACGCTGGGTAGATACAGACAAGAGCGGGTCAAGTTTCAGCCAGTTGGAACCGCACAGTGGGGTTAATGACCAGCCTTCACTGAGCTTTACCCACCCAGTTCCCGAAACCTGTCTGCACAGGTCTCGCGGTACGCTGGCTGGGAAACAAGCCCTTGACTGTCAGTTTTTGGTCTAATGTCACTTTATGGCATTGTTTGTTCCAACATTGGGGATTAAATCTAGGGCCTCCCGAATGCTTAGCAAGTGCTTCTCTGCTGATAGATCCCAGCCTGTCGGGTTTTGAGAATGAGGTGAGAGACACTCCATTGGTGACTCATTGTGGATGTCGGCTGCCTTTTGGATCTCACAGCAGGCAGTTTTTAAAATATATTTATGGGCATAGGCATACTGGGCCGTCACATTCCCACATTTCCCTGCAAAAACTTGGGCAAGCAAAGATTCATTTTGGGGGCTCCTCTGTGTAGCAGGCTGCTAACATATATATATGATATATATATATATATATCATAAAAATATACCATTTTTCCCCACAAACCAATGCTGCATTTTCACCTGTGCAACTCTGCAAAAATAAAGTTGCTTTCAGCCTAATGGCTATAGAGAATCGGTGAGGGACTGCCAAACCCAGAAATAACTCTTCAGACCTCGCCTTTTAGAGACCTGGGGATATATCACGGCTGGTCCTGCACTTCCCTCCCAAGCAGCACTGGCCCGTTACCTGGCACTGTGTTGTCCAGAATGAAAGCAAGGCACCCGCCAACAAACATCTCTGTGGTCAGCAGCACAGTTAGGATCTGATCCACTTCAGGAACGCCTGTGGGTTAAGTCAAGGGCCAACGGGCTAGTGGCCTTTTCTAGAAGGTAGAACTCAAGGGACTTCCCGCCTGCATAGTCCACTGACTTAGAAACTATCATGGCCGTGAAAGATTCCAAAGCCCTGACCTTCAGGCGTATCTGTACTCGTCTCTCCCGCCTTTGGGGACAGTCTTCTAGTTATTTGGACAATACTTATCCCCTGTGAACCCTCGCTCCGCTAAAAAACAGGTAGTAATAGCAAGCTTTAAATGTGCTCATTCAATGTTTCCATGAGATCCTAAGTAGCTAAATGGGTGCTTGTAATCCAGCTAATCCAGCCTCATTACAGGTGCTGGGGATGTGCTGTAGCACTTCATTGGTTTCCAGCTCGCATGTGTGAGACTTTTGAGAGGCCATTCCACTTTCCCCCATCTCCACCAAGGCAGTAGAGAACAAAGGGTACCTGTGTTGATAGCACCTGGGTTGGAATCCAAGTAATTGGGCAGCATGAGGCCAAAGAACATGGAGAATCCCAATACAAAGAGGTTGCGGGAGGAGTTCATGTCCACAAACTGCAGATTAGACAGTCCCACGGCGGTGATCATACCTGCCACAGCAGAGCCAATAGAGATCCAGCCTGCCCATATGGGTCCCGCCACTCCCCTTGGGCAGGCATCATACACTCACCAAAAAGGGTGCAAAACATTCCTCCCAGGATAGGGTCTGGGAGCGAGGCAAAGAGGGCTGTGAATTTGCCAATGACACCCAGGACTAGCATGATGCCTGCACCATACTGCACAACTCGACGGCTGCCCACCTGTAGGAAGGCCAGGGGCCCCGAGGGCAGGGTGTTAGGCATATATAAATGGACTCCAACACGGGCGAGGGGTGGGGCGGGGTAGGATGAAGGTGGAATGCTCTCACAGGGTAGGGCTAGGCCAAAACCAAGACTACTTAGGATTTGCAGCGCGGGAATGGGACTGTGCTGCTCTGGCTGGCGGCGCTGCACCTTGGTAATCCCTAGGACCCCAATGTTGGGACTGGATGAAGTGGACCCGTTGCCTGTGCCCAGTAGCCCAGCAATAATGCAGCAGATGCCTTCAGTGAAAATCCCCCTGTAAAGAAATGACGACTGAGGTGTTGGTCCAGCCCTATCGCCCATCTGACCCGTCACCTCGGCCCGCTTGCCCGCCCCTCGGGCTGTGCAGCCTGGCCGGCCGGCCCCACCTGCGGCATTGCACCCTGGAAGCTGGGAGGACAAGTCTGAGCTCCAGAACCGCGAAGATAGTAAAGGGTCCCCTACCCTACTGTACAGCGTAGTTAGACATTGCCCAAGGGGGCACAGGAAGAGCTGGGCACACAGTTGTCTGTGTAACTCGTTTCCCTCAGCAGTTCCCAGCTTTGACAGAGTAACCCCCCCCCCATTCCGTACTCAAGAAAAAAAAACGAGATCTAGAGGTGAGGGTGACTTTTCTCGCCCCAAGCCTTTAACAGGGCACCCTACACTTGCTTTCATAGCGGCCCCTCGGGATCAGACACATACCAAGGCGGGCGCATTACCTGTTGATAGCATGCACCGGAGGGGGTGGTGCGCCCGCCAGCCGGGCACACGCGTAGTAGTCGCCGATGGACTCGATGATGCCTGCCAGCGTGGCACTGAACATGCCCAGAACCGCGGCCACAGTCACCGTGGGTAGGCCCCACTGACCTGGGTTTGGAGACAACAAAGTAGGTTCTCGAGGCCACTCCGACGGGTTAGGAACAGACACAGAGTGTTACTTGAAAGGGAGATTGGCTGGTGGCGGGGGCTTGTCACAAACAGGGCCAATGGGTAGCCACGCGCACTGTCAGCTGGACAGAAGCCACCGGGCATCTCACAGGCGTTTTAGCCGGAGGGGGAAGCAGAAGGGACCGAGTGGGCTTGCTTACATGGGTAGGGGATGCGGATCCAGGGTGAGCTAGCCATGATGTCCCCTCGGGCATCCGTGCGTGCCTGGAAGCCATAGGCTGCGGGGTCTGAAGGCAGCACGT